CTCCACTGCACACGAGGCCTCCACTGCGCACGAGGTCACCACTGCACACGAGGTCTCCACTGCGCACGAGGTCTTCACTGCACACGAGGTCACCACTGCGCACGAGGTCTCCATTGCACAGGAGGTCACCACTGCACATGAGGTCTCCAGAGGCCTCCACTGCACAGGAGGTCTCCACTGCACACGAGGTCACCACTGCACAGGAGTGAAGTGCCTCCACTGCACACGAGGTCTCCACTGTGCACGAGGTCTCCACTGTGCACAGAAATGATTTATTGTTGCTGCTTGACTCCCATATGGAAGGAAAACAGAAACTCTGAGAATTCAGTGGGAAATGATTCACCAATACTGAGATCTGTAAGACCCAGTTAAGCTATATTTTGCAAAAAACGCAAATTTAAAATGAGTTAAAACTTAAATAGATTTAAAATGAGAGGAGAGGCCGGGTGTGTGGCACACACCTCCTAGCACTTGAGAGGCAGAGGCAGGAGGATCTCTGTAAATTTAAGGCCAGACTGGTCTACAGAGAGTTCCAGGCCAGCCAGAGCTACTTAATGAGACCCTTTCTAAATAAATAGATACATAAAAGTAAATAAATAAATAAGGTGAAGAGCTATTGCAGAAAATACCTGAAGTTAACCCCTGGTGAAGACACACAAACACACACACACACACACACACACACACACACACACACACACACACGCTGGCAGCAGCTTTATAAGGTAAGAGCTGATCTTGATTTTGAAACCAGATTAAGTGTAACCAAGAAGAACAGTCTTGTCCGTTTCACTTCTGAGCTTATACTAAAAATCCCTCTTTTCACCTTTCTTTTCTTTTTTTTTTTTTTTTTTTTTGTTTGAGACAGGAAGTTAATTTGGGAGTTTGGGGGTCAAAGTTTGGGCTCTGGCAGTCCTGAGCTTTGCTTGGCGATCTGTCCTCAGTAGCTTATTAAAGAGACAAATCAGTGAAGAGCAGGGAAGCTCATTCAATGCAGCTACTTGTGAAGAACAAATAAAGGGTGCAGTGACGCCCAAGTCCGCCTTTGGGTACTGACATGAAGCTTAAGTCCGGACAGAAGGCAAGAGGTATGCACAGCTAAGCACTGGCCAAGGCGCGGCCCTGCCCACCAACGCCTCTTTGTCTGGGCTCCATCTCTCCCGAAAGGTGGTTTGGTAAGTCCTCCGAGCTGTGAGAGATCGCTCCCTGGAAGACAAGTCCTTCTTCTGGCAGACAGCAGGCTTCAGACATCTAGTATGGCGTTCCTGGAGAAATTCTGATTCCTAGGGCCCATCTTTTCAGCAGTTTGATAGCTGAGGGATGGACCCACATGCCTCCTTAGTGGTGTGCTGTGAAGTCTGGCGTCTGAACCTACTGGAGTAGTGAAAGTCTCACTCTCCACCTAGGCTGCTCTAATTGCTATGTAGCCCAGACTGATCAAATATACAATTCTTCTGCCTCAGTCTCCCTAATGCTTGGAAGGCTGGCCTGCACAATCATGCCAGCTCTAGACTGAAAATCTTAAGTAATGCGTTGGCTGAGCCAGGCTGGGTCTGCTGGCTTCCATTTGTCTCTCCCATGGAGCCTCTGACTGGAAATCTTATTGTACTCCAGAAGTTTGCAGACGGAGGAGGCCTGTCCCCACGTGGACACTGCAGAGATGGTTCTATGAGTTCTACACTAAACATACTTTAAAAACAATAGCCTCCGATGTTTAGAGTCATTTGAGAGTTCAGAGAAGTTTCAAAACAGTGTGGCTGACCTTCAGGGTCTGCCCCAAGTGTTCCCCAAGCCACCTGTCACTGCTGGGGGAGGTACTGACCCACTGTTGGCTCATCCTTCACCCATGCGGATCCCACGTGAGGTCGCCTTAGGGTTTTCTAGGTGGAGACAGTCTCTCACGCTTTTGTCTTGGCTGGCAGCTCAGAGAAGGCCTGGTCAGGTGGTCTGCGTTGTTGCCACATGGCATGCCCGCCGGGATGGGAGGTGTGGACTGAGCCACAAAGCTGGTCCTGTTGTCCCGACCTCCGGTTAAGTGAGTGCTGTGGCTGTGAGGTCACAGCCAGCGTTCCCTCCTGGAGCTGGAGTTGGGCCTCAGTAGCAAGCGGCTGCTGTTGCAGGATAGCTTCCTGAAGCTGTCTGTGGAGTGTCCAAAGCAGTGGCCGCTGGGCTGACAGCCTTATGCTCTAGATAGAAAGGCCCGGCATCTATAACATAGAAGTGAGGTGGCCTCGGGCACCGAGAGTCGAGCCTATTTAAGGGGAAAATAAATATTAAAAAGATGTTTACAGTGAAGAATCACCATTAGCAGCAGAGGCTTAACAGTACTCAGCATGGTAACCTCGGCTTAACAGTACTCGGCATGCCAACCCCTTGCCCAGTGCCTCAGAAAGGGGAAGGTGCTTTTCACTTGTGTCATTTGCCCAGGGACAGAGTTCAGCTCCTGCCTGATGTCACTGTCAGTTTTCTGAAGTGAGGACTTGCTCTTCCCCTTCTCAGACGGAGAAGCTGAAGTGAGGGCACTGGCGTGTGTGTATGTGGGGAACAGGGAGGAGGGGGTACAGGGGCCTGTGCTCTTGGTAGTGATTCTAGGCCCTGAGGGACAGAAAGGATCTAAGAAGGGCAGGGCAGCAGTCATTGCCCAGGGAGCGATGCATCTGACCTGGCGGAGGGAGGCAAAGAGGGACACAGAGACTGCCTATGCTCAGCCTCACTGGTGGCCTGTCCCTCAGTCCTACAAACCCATCCCCCTTCCTGTCTGTGGGAATATCTGGGCTCAAGTTCATCTGTGTTGTAGAGTGCAACAGGACTTCCTTCCTCTCTACACTGAGGTCAGTTTCCTGTGTGGACGGACACCAGTGCCATGGCTCCTGTGGCTCCTGTCCTGCTGTGAGAACCTGCAGCTGCCCTGGGCCCTGCCTGCACTTCCTTCAGGGTATCTGCTTGTTCACGTGGTACCTCACCTTTAATTGCCACACTGTTTTCTGGAAGCCTGCACCCCAACATTCCCACCAACAGGGCACAAGTCTCCTCTACCCCTCATTATGTTAGGATTATTTTCTGAGACAGGACCTTACCATGTAGCCCCCGATAGCCTGGAACTCACCACATAGGCCAGGCTAACCTTGAACTCACAGAGATCCACCTGCCTCTGCCTCCAGAGTTCGAGGATTAAAGGTATGCACCACCATAGCCCATCCATTTTAGGATGTTTTTGGCCATATTCATCCTAGCAAGCATGAAATGACAACTGAATTTCCTGTTTTTCTCTGATATAAGTCCAGACTGGCCTCAGACTCACAGTCCTCCCTGTCGATCTCTTAGAACAGGAATTATAGATGTGTGCCACCACACCCAGCTGAGTTTCTAGTTTCAATGAGAATTTGTATTCCTAAACATTCGGTGGCATTATTTGTATACGTGTGTGTTTGGTTTTTTTTGAGACAGGGTTTCTCTGTGTAGGCTTGGCTGTCCTGGACTAATTTTGTAGAGCAGGCTGGCCTCAAACTCACAGAGATCTGCCTGCCTCTGCCTCTCCAACATTGGGATTACAGGTGTGCGCCACCACACCCAGCCCAGTGCTGGCTAGGAGGGAGCACCAATTGAGAAAATGTCTCCGTAAGGTTCAGCTGTGAGGCATTTTCTTAGTTAATGATTGATGTGGGAGGAGCCATCCCTGGGCTAATGCTCCGGGTTCTATAAGAAAGCAGCTGAGTGAGCCAGGAGGAGCAAGCCAGCACAGCACTCCTCCATGGCCTTTGCATCACCTCCTGCCTCAGGTTCCTGCCCTGTGTGAGTTCCTGTCCTGACTTCCCTCAGTCAGGGATTGTCACCTAGAACTGTACGCGGAACAAACCCTTTCCTTCCCAAGTTTTCAGCACAGCCATGGAAACCCCGACTAAGACAGTATGTATGCGGATGTAGGCACCTCTTCAGGAACACGGAGGTCAGAGCAGACCTTTGGGGGTGCAGTTCTCACCTTCCACAGTGTCGGGGCGGGCCTCCCTTGTTTCTGCTCTGCAGCGTGCTCCAGGCTGGCGGGCTTCCAAGCACCTAGGCAGTTCTCCTGTTTCCACCTTTCCTCTTGCTCTAGGAATGCTGGTATTAGAGGTGTGCACCATGGCATCAGGCTTTCTATGTGGGCACCAGGGACTGACTCTGGGTGCTCGGCTTTCGTAGACAGTTTTTACCAGCTAAGTCACATTCTTAGCTCCTGAACTTTCAACTCTTATCAAATTTGTACAACACAGTAAGGTGCTACAGAGGGCTTTTTAAAGCATACTTTATATCAAAGAGCAGTTTTACATTCACAGCAAAATGGAACAGAAAGCTATCCCATGTGGCCCTTCTGCTTGCCCAGCGCAGTCATCTCTAAGCAGGGATGAACCACTGCATATCTCCTCCTGTCCGTTCTGTACACACATGGTTTAAGCCATCCCGAGTCTGGATTTCTCTTTTCTCCCTTTGCTCCTCACACTGGCTCTTTCTTTTCTGTCCCTTCCCTTCCTTTCCCCTTTGTGTCAAACTGACACAAGCTAGAGTCATCAGACAGGAAGGAGCCTCAACTGAGAAGATGCCATTGGATCAGGCTGTAGGCAGGCCTCTAGGGTATTTTCTTAATTAATGATGGAAATGAGAGGGCCTGGGACATTGTGGGTTGGTGGTACTAAGTTGTATTGTGGCCTTTAATCCCAGCACTTAGGTGGCAGAGGCAGGTGGATCTCTGTGAGTTCCAGGACGGCCAGGCTAGATAGAGGGAACCTATCTCATAAAACAAAACGAAACACAGCAAACAACAAAAAGACAGAGAGAGAGAGAGAGAGAGAGAGAGAGAGAAATAAAGAAAGAAAGCAAGCAAGCAGGCTGAACAAGCCATGTGGAGCAAGTCAGGAAGCAGCACCCTCCACAGCCTCTGCCTCAATTCCTGCCTCCAGGTTCCTGTCCTGCTTGAGTCTCTGTCTTGACTTTCTTCAATGATGGACTAAGATAAATAAACTCTTTCCTCTGTCTTATTCAGTGTTCTATTGCTGTGAAGAGACACTATGAACTTCAGACTCTTATAAAAGAAATCATTTAACTTGGGCTTCGCTTACAGCAGAAGTTTAGTCCTGTCATGGCACGGAAGCGCATCAGAATGCCACCAGACATGGTGCTAGAGAAGCAGCTGAGAATGTTACGTCTGGATCTTCAGGCAGCAGGAAGAGAGAGGCACTGGGCCTGGGCTTTTTAAACCTCAAGGCCCACCTCCAGTGACACACTTCCTCCAGTAAGGCCTCCCCAATCCAGATTTCCAACCTTTCTTAAGTAGTTCCATTCCCTGATGACTAAGCACTCAAATATATGAGTATAGGGGGCCATTCTTATTCAAACCACATCTTCCCAACTTGTTTTTGGTCATGGTGTTTCATCATAGCAATAGTAACACTAGCTAAGACAGCCCTGTACCCACCTGCCACACTGATTGATTTCCTGGCCACAGGCTATTGACCCCTTGTACTATCTGGACTGGGACAAGGACATGGGACACGTGGCTCCAACCTGCTAAGCCACATGGAACCTGCAGGATGACATGAATAGAGACACCCCATGCCCAGAACGGCTGGAAGGTGCCATCCTGGAGCCTCTGGGGCCTGGGGGCCTGGGGGCCTGGGGGCCCCAGTGGCCTGGAGACTCCTAGACTCCTCAGCTGCTCCCTAGGTCAGTTGGAGGGACAGGCTTGGGCAGCTGAATAAAATTCAGCGGAATCTAGAGGGCATGAGGAAGCTGAGTAGGCCATAGCTTGAAGAAGAGCTGAGAAGGAAGGAAGGGAGAGAGGGAAGAAAAGAAGAGTCACAGGAGAGGTCAGGAGAGGTCAGGAGCTATAGGATGCGATAGAAGGAGAGACTCTGGGTTTGAACTGGGGAATCTGGACCAGCTGCTGTCACAGCTCAGGCCTGTACAGGAGGGTCCTTTCAGGACAGGGCAGACACACCTCGCACAGATGGACTGGTCCCTACGGAACCTGGAAGAGCACTCTAGCTCTGGTTTCTTTGGAGAATGCCCAGGGTTTTCTCTTGGTTTCTGGAGTAGGCTGAGAGCAGCTGGTGTGGGAGCCTGCTGTACAGCTTCTTTAGTGACTGGGGCAGCTGGGCAATGACCCCTGAAGGCTCAGGAGGGCCATGGGACTGGCTTCCAGCTGCAGTTTCCTGTTGGCATTTCCGTGGCAGCTTCTTTCAACACGCCCCGTGTTCCCATGGTGGAATGACTTCTATCATTTAATTGTCCCCCTTTCTGATCCTGCCCTGGAGTTCAACACTAGAACCTTCCCAGCTGTGCTGGCCAGCCCAATTGGCTACAATTCCACTGAGCAGAAATCCAGGATCTAGGATTCAGGATCCAGGGGCCACAGCAGTCTGGGAAGTCAGCTACCATGCACAGAGGCAGGACCTGGCACTCCAAACTGGCTTCAGAACATTAAAGCAATTATAGGGCTCTGTTTGACCTCACTGTGGATGACTGAAGTCTTAACCATCATAGTTGCCCTGGGGAACCCCAATAGGTTTCCCTCACATTGATCCTAGCAACCGTTTAACAATAAAACACACACAAAAAAATCACAGCCAGCCCTAGCTTTCATCAGAATCACACTGGAGGCCAGAGCTGACCTTGGTCCAGAGGTCCACAGCTAACCATGGCCCCAGAGGCACACAGGTGACCTTGTCCCCAGAGGCACACCTGGTTTTAGACTGTAGTTAAGACAAACCAGGAACATTCCAGACAAGACAAAGTCACCTTTTCATCCTTACCATATAGACTGGCTCTCTCTACCCAGGATCATGGGGATTCCTGGTCTTGCTGTTGTTGGGGGCCATGATTCATTCTGTAAGTCTGCAATGAATGGTACTTCACAGACCACTGTGTTGGACTGTCTCCTGATCTGGGCCAGGCCTCATACACTAAGACAGAGGTGAACCAGGACAGCAGTGACACCACAGGCCAGCATATAAATGAGGTTAATAAAACCTGGAGAGCAGTTAGAAGGACTTAGAAAAGACTACGGAAAAAAAAAAACAACAACAAAAAAACAGTGTAGAAAGTGGAGTAAAAGGAATGTAGAGTGAACAAGGGACAATGATAAGATAAAGATAAACATTTTAAAAATGACAAGAGAATTAGTGCTGTTCTCAGCCTTGGCTGGGAAAGCTTCTTTTTGCAGTGGTCAGCAGTTAATGCAGAGACTCACAGCTGAGAACTGACTTTCAAGGGCTCAGCCTAATTGGGACATCTATGTCACCCCCCCAAAAAAAAACAACAACAACTCAGGGACCACCGTGGAATGAGAGGGGGGAGGGATACAGGAGACGGAGACGGGACAGTGTGTGAAATGCTGACCCAGCGTGCTGTTGCCATCGTGGGCGCACTGCAGCTGCAGCCGCCTGTATGAGATCAGCTGAACGTTCTAGCACAGAGGGGGAGGGGCTGCTGGGGCTCAGGGCTCAGAGAGGAGCTATCTGCAGCTAATGGCAGCTGCAGGAGCGGGAGGTGTGTGTGTGTGCACGCGCGTGTGCGCATGTGTCCCAGTGAGGTAGCTTGGCTGTTGGTTAGGCTGAGCTTGCTCCACACCCACGCTCACCCAGGCATCACTAATTAAACTCTGTGTCATAAAAAGAGGTCATAGGTGTAGGAGGGTGATGACTTGTTGAAGGGACCCAGAGGGAGTAGGATGGGGATAAGAAAGGGTAATGGGGAGTGAATAAAATAATAAATTATATACATGTTAAAAAAAATGCGCTGTCGAGCCGGCTCAGTGGGTAAAAGGTGTTTAACCTTACCAAGCTTAACATCCTGAATTCAAGCCCTGGCATCCAGCGCTGGAGGAGAAAACCGATTCTGGGCAATTATACTCTGCCCTCCCACACAAATAAACACATAAGCAGAGCTGTAAAATTGCAGCAAGTTTTAAGGACCAGAGAGATGGCCCCGGAGGTTAGAGCACTTGTTGCTCTTGCGGAGGACTGGGGGTTTGTTCCCAGAACTCACATGCTGGCTCATAACCATCTGTAGCTCCAGTTCCAGGGGACCCAGTGCCCTTTTCCAGCCTCTGTGAGCACCAGGCATGCAGTGCAAATGTATACATGCCTGCAAAAACGCCCATACACAGAAGAGCATCTAAATCTAAAATAAATTAAAAGTGAGTGGTTCACACCTGTAATCCCAGCTCCCGGGAGACTGAGGCAGGAGGATAACTGTGAGTATGGTGCCAGCCTGGGCTACACTGTGATTTTTAGGTGAGCCTGGACTGCAAGGGAGATTTTATTTCAAACAGAAGGAAGAAGAGGAAGATAAGAAGGATGAGATCAAGATTGCAATAGCAGCAAAAAAAGGATTTAAAAGAAAAATGGCCAAGAAGATGCAGCCTTTTTTTTTTTTTTTTTTTAAGGATGCATGAATGACCCAAGCCCATGAAGAGACATTCAGCATGCAGGGAGTAAAAAAATCAAAGCCAAGATAAGAGAAGCATACTTCATATCCCACAGGAAGGCTAGACTGAAGCAGATGTTGGAGAGGACGGGAAACCCAGAGCCCATCCATCCTCCACTGCTGGTGAATGTGGCTCAGGCCTCCTCCAAGCACAGCATTGCCATAGCCACAGACATCAGGGGAGAGTGGAGGACCAGAGTTGACAGAAGCTAGGCCCACCCTACCAGCCTACCATAGCCCTGGAGGACCCTTTCCAGAATCCTGTGGTCTTCATCTATACCAACAGATACCACTGTCTTGTAGCTGCGCAGTGCAAGTAGGATGGCTGGCTGGGGCTGGGGTCCTGGAGGCTCAGTAGCATCCTCTTGTGTGAACTGGGGT